CATGTGAGGAGTTGGAAGAAGGACCAACCTAGGAACGAGCGTAAGGATTGCCCACGCCAGACTTGGGGAAGTCAGCATGCCAATGCCACATAGCCACCACTGTGCACAAGTTGCCTCTTTCTAAGCATCCCAAGCCTAGGATCAAAGAAGCCAGAATGAGGGCTTGATCCAAAATTGGATATTTTAGGGGATTTGTAGTAGACCTAAGAGTGATTCCCACCATGTGGAGGGGTCTTGGATAAGCCAGCAAAGATGTCTGATCTGTGGTTAGTGTTGGGTGTTGGATTTCAAGAGCAATTAAGTGTGCCAGTTTTTACCTGAGGAGAAATAGGGCTTGGAGGAGACCCCATGGAATGTGCCAGCTCAGAGTAGACTGGGAAGAGCCAAGATTGAATTCTTTGAGACAAAATCCAGAGGTCAGAGTTAAAGTCAGGGTTGTGAAGCCAAAAATTTGAGGTGGAGCAGAGATAGACTTAGAACAACAGGTGAAGAAGGTCAAGAAGGTGAAGTGAAATGCTTGAGGGTATCCACAAGATTGCCCTTATTTAAGCCAAGAATATTGTAAAGGCAGGGAGGGCAGGAGGGGACTGGGGAGGGAACCATTAGGCTGGTTAAAGAGGTGGGGTGGGCAGAGAGAAAGATGCAGTCCATCTTTAACAAGGTGAGGAAAGAAGCTGAGGGTCCAAAACCACATGGCCAAAACCTTGAAGGAGAAGGCTCATTTGCATGGGGCAGCAAGCTAAGAAAAAGTGGCATCTGTCTTCTGTGGCAACTGTGACATCAGGTGGAGGATGGATGAATGGGTACACTGGAGGAAGGAAGAAAGAAATAGAAGGATTGCAGGCATACCTGGGATTAGAGAAGAAAGATGTGATAGTGGACACAGCCAGAGCTGATCCCTTAACTTTTAAATTCAGTAGATAGTAAATTGAGCAGCTCGTGTGTCTAAAGCACAGTCACAGGGTCTGCCCACGATAAGCCTTCAGTGAATGTTCATGTAGGGAACGAGTGGGGGCTTGGGGGTGGACCCTGATTATGAAGCAAAGATCAGGAAGATGCAGTTTCTACCCTTAAGGATCACAGTTTAGCGGGCTCTTAAAGCTTGTCTGCTGTTTCACTCTTAGATAAACTGTATATTAAACAAATTTTTACCTAAAAGTGTCAGTTGTAAGAAGCTGTTGGTCTAGGAAGTGTTCTTTTGAAAATACAGTTTATATTCTTATGGATTTTTTATTTCATCTGTTCCTGAGTAGCTATAGGACATACAAAAATAGTATTTCATCTTTTGAGGGGTTTTGGTAGCAGTCAGGCACAAAATGCACATGTATATTCTGATAAACAGATGAAATCGTAAAATAATGTATGTAAAGTTAACATGGACATGCTGTGGTTGTTTGTGTAAGTATGATGTTTGATCATGAGTAATTAGTTTGTACTTTCCAATTGTGGCCAAAAAATGATTTCAAAGGAAGTTACTGAGTGGCTGGTTAGAAGTGGAATGAACTCAGGGGTACATCAGTTAGCAAGGACGGAAAAGAACAATTGGTTCAATGACTTGTAATTAACTACCTAATTCCTCTGCAGAAAATTTGAGTCTACTTACAGCAAAAACACACATATCCTAGCCAGTAATTTAAATGCAAGAGGAAAATCAGAAACCTTGTAGAGGAAGGAGGAGAGATGGCTCTGTGGGAGAACCAAGTTGTGAAAAGGATAGTGTTAGGAAACAGAAGAAAACCCCTTGTCTTCATAGCTTTCTTAATTGGTTAGCAGCAATCCAGGTGAGATCTGACCCTTTCCTACACAAAGTGGCCCAACTCTGAGGACGATGAGTGGTCCTTGATTGCATGGATACCGCTGTGGACACAAACTCGACAGTCCTTCCTGACAAGCTCCTCCAAAGGGTCAACGAGGCTATGGCAGATACCTGGAGAGTAAGAGGTGGGAGGACAAAGGGACATAAGGGGTCACTGGATCCTCCTTTGCTTTCCGGGGGAAACTCTGATAAGCTGAATGGAGAAGGGCTATCCCAAATGCATATGTGCTAAACTCACTTCCCACCTGTAGCACAGGTGTCATGATAGGGGAGAGATGATGTTGGGTCAGTACATCCTCCCAAGGTGGTTTTGAACACACTCGCCATGCCTCTGCTTCCTCTGTGGGTTCTGCACCATCGGACGGGCTGGGGGATGACAGTTACCCAAGGAAAGAAGGCACAAGACCATCCTCAAGAAACTCTTTCATTTCAAAAACCTGATAGAATTTCAACACCCCACCCACCTACCAAAGGGAGGTGAGGAAATGTCCTCACCTCAAGAGAGAATGTCTCACTTTTCTTAGAATGGATCAACTACTGCTTCTGTGCTTGCTCAGGTTTGGAAGTGCAGGCAAACCAAGAAATAGGGTTCAGAACCTATTTGTAAACGCCAAATTGGCTTTCTAGTAATCAGAAATAAATTTAATTCCATCATCATGTATTGATCGCAAATATCTTCCAGGAGTTGAAACTGAAGGAGAATACTGGAAGTGAATAGAACAACCCCTCCCTCACAGCTAGTGAAAGTGTATGTCAAAAAGCATATGCATCCACATGGTGGAATGCTACTCAGCCATAAAAAAGAATGAAATCTTGTCATTTGCAGCAACGTGGATGAGCCTGGAGGACATTACGTTGAGTGAAGTAAGTCAGGCAAAGGAAAGATGTATTTACTGCATGTTCTCACTCATGTGGGAACTAAAAAAAATAAAAATGTTAAGCTTATAGAAATAGAGGTAGAATTGTGGTTACTAGAGGCTGGGAAAGGGAGGAGAGGGATAGAGAGATGTTGGTTAACAAATACAAGATCACAGCTAGATAGGAAAAATAAGTTCTAGTGGTCTACAGTAGTACTAGGTGTGTATAATTAACAATGATTTATTGTATGTTCTCAATTGTCTAGAAGAGGGGCGCTCAAATGCTCTCATCACAAAGAAATGATAAACTTTTTTTTTTTTTTTTTTTTTTTTTTTTTCGTGTCCGGCAACGGA